ATGTATTTAATTTTTTTTACTAATAATAGTAGGCCAAATCTCCTTTCTAAGTCCACGTCCAGCAGTGGACTACTAAAGGCTGTTGATGATGACGATGATAATAATATATAATTTTCAATTTCCTCCGAGCCTTTTCCCCAAACTAGGTTGAGATCAGCTTTAAGTCTACTACGATACAGCTGAACTTCATTTTTTTCTATTAGGCGATATGAAAGTTCTGTAAAAAGGCTATTATCGAACTTTTTAGGGCTTCAACTACCAGTAACAATTACCACAGATGTTCATATGGCAACCCGGACCTACGGCTTAACGTGCTCTCCTTATCACGGAGGGGTCTCAATGCGTTAAGAATGGTCATCCATCCGTAGACTAACCTGGCTACGATTACATTTTCATGTAAAATGTTGTCAAGACAAGACTCGCACTGTCAAAAAGTTGGCAGATCCAGTGTAAAGCTGAACTTCTAAATCTACACACCCTAATTTTAGAAGGCCTAACTTCACGATCTCTACACCTGGCTTATACATGGCTTAGACATGTTACTACTATTACATGGGCGTAAAGGGAAAAAAGTATTCGCTACAATAGTTCTTGTAGTAACGATTGCCCAGATGAACATTAATAAATCTACCGCTACTATCCACCGATATTCGCTTGAAGGATGGGGAGTAATTCACTACAAATACTGAAATATGTAGGTATGTACTATTTATAACTACTTTTTCTCTGAAAATTGATAATAGGGACTCTATTATCAATTTTCAGAGAAAAAGTAGTTCGGTAGTGCCCTCGCGCTTCGCTTGGCTCGTCTTGACGGTATCATTGGTCATCTACCTCTGTTATAGAAATTTTGAAGACCCTCAAGTTTATCTAATTGTTTCTCAGTGATATAGAGATAACTGGAAGTATCTCGATATCACTGAGAAGCTAGTAAATCAATTTGGAGTGTATTTAAGTGATGTGATTGGTTGTTTTTGATTTTAGAGACCTCTGCCATGACAGAGTACCTACTGTATGATACTCGTATTATAAGCGCCTGTGGGCGTTGTAATGATCTATACCTGCGCCGCTTTATGGTTCGTGTTTGCGAATGTCACAGATTTTATCACGAATTGCGACTTGAATATAAAAATCAGTAAGGTTACCTACCTTTATAAGCCTCCAAACGAAGGATAACTGTAAATTCAAGTTTGTCATATGTGATAAAAATTTGATACAGTTAGCTATGTCCACTCTCCAAAGTAGTTTGACAAGATTCGAGCATATATAATATGCGCAGGTATTTGTATTCTTTCTAAGGGAACTTGTAACAGAATAGCATTTTGTTTTCTAGGTTTTTGCAGGTGGAAAGTTACTACTTTCTGAATCAGCAACAGTCTGTGGTTAAAAGTACTACAAAACAGATATTAACAGGTAAGACACTTAAAATATCTATTTACGTTGGACACTAACATATAAAAAGCAGTTTCAAGGTGAAATATATAACATCAAAACAATCATAAACTTCCAAGAGGAGAGTCAAATCACGTCTACGACATCATCAGTGATGACGAATCTCTGATCTATGCTTACAATTCTGATTCCAAACAACAATCTGCAATATAGGTCTTTCAAGACGAGCCAAAGCTGACTAAAGTTGTTCGTTCTCGAAGCACTTCAAAGAAGATGGTGGCCACGTTCGTTGGAAAAACCGGCCATGTTGCGACTATTGCATTTGAAGATCGTAGAACGGTTAAAGCAGAGTGGCATACCACAGTTTGTTTACCATAGGTCATCGCCGAACTTCGAAAATCTAACTCGACACCACGACTGCACCACGACAACGTAAGCTCACACAGCGCTCGTCAAACGATTGAGTATTTGAAGCAGGAAAAAGTAGAAATTCTTGACCATCCTCATTACAGTCCTGACCTAAGCACTAACAATTTCTTTACATTTCTCAAAATTAAGAAAAGTCTTCGTGGTCAAAGGTTCCAGTCCGGTGAAGAAGCAGAACACCCCCACTTTAGAGTGGAATAAATGTTATAATAACTGGTTTGAGCGAATGGAAAAGTTTATTTAGCTACGTGGTGAATACTTTGAAAAACAATAAAAAGTACTATAAGGTTCTAGTTGTCTTTTTTTCTTCAAACGACAAAACTTAAAAGGCATGCTTCGTATCATCGTAGATTTTTTGGTTTAAAACCGTTATGCGAAACGCTCAACAATTTGCAAAAAGGGCGTAAAAAAGATTTTTATAAATAGAGGACTAAAACCCAACCTTTTCACTCGTCAAGTATTCACATATTTTAATAACATTTTAAACGTTAATTTGATCTGTGGTATGATTTTAGGATAAGCCATGAACAGAACAATGACCTTTTAAGAGTCATCCAAACTTGATTTTAATTGTCTCCCTAAGAGGAACTCCGTCGGACGATAAAGGCTGTTGGTATGGTATATGATCTCCATAGGAGAGAGAGCTTATTTGTGATGAAGCAATAAGCTATGTGTAGAAATGATATACACATGTAAGTTTTTATTATTATAGAAGAATAATTATTTGTTTCTGATTTTGGTTTGTAGTCAATCATCTTCATCTTCACTCGACACCTCTTTTAATGTCTTGCTCAGGCAAGACATTAAAAGAGGTGTCTTGTACTTTCTTTCTTATATTTTTAAGTTTTTAGTTTTAGAAAGGGATTCTTTTTGAACTGAATCTTCTTAAGAATTGTTGTGATTTGAGACTCGATGAAACGAAAATGTGTCACAATAAAGAAACAAACACATAAATGTATAGGAATAAATCGGCGAGAGAATGAGATAGAATACATTACAAATTATTTTTAATATAATATTTTGACAGTGTGAATATTTTTATCTTTTTACTTGGTACTAGCTGGTACCCATGACTTCGTTCGCGTGGAATTCGAAAAACGCTGCCTTAGAGGGTTTGGTTCCCGGGCTGGGCAAAATTTTATACGGTTTTGCCGAGTTAAAAAAAATTTGAAAAAAAAAGAAGTTTTTTTTCGGAAGTTTCACTTCTGATGTGTGTAAATTGCACACACAGACACTTTTTTTTTTCTTTACTGTCATATATTTTTTTAGTTATTTTCTTTTCTTAATTTGAGCACGAAAGCTTTGACCTTTTAGATCACACTTCGTTTAAGAGAAATTTTCAATGATTTTCTTACTACTCACTTTAGTGTGTTCTGTTCATCCTCTATTTACTTTCCATTTTCTTAATTCCTTTTTTTAACTTATTTTCGAAGCTACTACTATATTGAACATGTTTTATTTTAAATGTCCTTTTTGTTTTTACTTTAGCACAATAATACACTATTGACTTATCATTAATATTTTAGATTATTAGAAAAAAAACAGAAGCAATTAAAAGACGATGAAAATATTGCGTGGCCTCTGTATACCAAAACTTTGGATGGAGAAATTTAATGGTTACTGAAACATAGATTTCACTTAAAATTCGGATGTCAAAAACTAATTCAACGAGGTCAAATAAGTAGGTATAAGTAAAAAACTCATAGCATTAAAAAAATATTTTCTGATTTTATGAAATACTTTTTGTTTAAATTTTTAAAACAATGAAAGCTATAATAAAAAGATGGGATATCTGTGTGTGTGAAAATTTCTGAATTTTGATGTTCGGGGTAATCTCAGGAACTACAGGTTCGAATTGAAAAAATCTTTTACGTTGGATAGTCCTTTTATCAAGAAAATATACAGACGATATAAAATAATAATACGACTAATAGGAGCCCAGTATCAGTGCGAAATGTTGCGAAACCGGGGAAAATTTATTCCTTTTGAAAGAAGCTGACGAAGTGGGTCGGGTCAGCTTGTATGTTATATATCTTATGAACCAAATAATAAATTGTGGCATTTTTCATAATGCCCGAGTATTATGAATAATGCGAAGTTACTGAGGGTAATTGATCAGTCATTTTCGGGCGACAGTACACACACAGACAGTATACACAGTTTAACTTTTAAGTTTACCTCGGATTCAGAACCTCTTCCTAGTATAAATTATAAGCCTGATTATATTATGGATAAGATAAGGTCCAGTTAATTTAAGTTTTTATTATCATAGGGCAAGAGTAAAAGGAAAGATTGATTTGTTTTAAAAAATTGATTCTACGAATACGTTTGAAATAAAAAACATCAATTAAACCCTAATTTAAATCACTGTGCCCCTTACGTGAAAATCATTATAATTACGCATGGACGCATGGTTTGACTATCTCAATAGCTGTGTTTACACAATTTTGGGCATTTTTCAAACTGCGCGGGATTTTATTAATATGTTTCATTAATCGTTAGGTCCGTGACAGTTATATATTATTTCACATGTATCTTATATATACTTGTACGTTATAATGCGTCTTTGCCAACTTCGTTTTTTAAAACATTTCCTTTTTATAGTTAGGGGGGGGGGGGGGGGAAGAGCAGGCGTGTCACCTGATGGTAAGTGACTAGTGTACCGTTTTTGGCACCCTTTAAATCCCTCGCCTCCAGATTTACAGGGAGTTCTAGTTTGGGGTGACGTAACCCTACTCACTCGGTGAAAAGCCTGAAAGAAGTGCGCAATGCATGTCGAAGCGTGCCTCTCTCACGATAATACAAATACACATAGCAAAGTATATCCATGGCATGTAGACGGTATAGTATCTTTTGTTATATTTTGGTGCATTAAGAATACTAATATACGAAACTAGTTATTTGTAGTTAGAATCGTACTTTATGTGAATAAATACGGCACGTATTGAGTTCATATTGGGATTATAATACAAGCAAGCAAAGTTGATGATGGTATTTCGATACACTTTTACAGACATGATTTAGTTTACAAAATCCCAGAGTATATTAAATGTGGTCATTTAAGTATGTATGTATAAAGTACAGCAAATCTCATTTTTGTATAAAAGATATAATGTGATAATTTATGTACAAATATATTATTCTTATGTATAAATATAAACTAAATCTAAGGTAAAGTACTCTTATAACTTAAAAACTTCATAGCCGACCGATGTTGAATCGACACTATCGGTATCATTCTGGAGGTGGATGATCTTTTCAACGTTTTCATTGAACGTCACCACAGATTTTCTTCTTGCCCCGACTTTTTCTCCAAACTCATCATCATCTGTCTCCTCTGCATCTTTTAATTTATCCACTGATTGTATTACTATTGGGATATTAGATTCTGGTGACAGCAAGTCTGCTATATCATCTATAGATGTTTCTTTTTTTGGAGTTATCGTTTCAACGGAAACCGTTTCGATAGGTGTGTTTAACCTGTCTTGCAGTCGTTGCTCACTCTTTTTTAATTCTTCGATATTTAGTCTTGATTTAGGAGTTTCTGGTTTTGAAACTTGATCTATCGAATCTGTACGCGATGTCAAGCTTTTTTTGTCAGAGAATTCGTCGTAGTCCTTGGTTTTTCGCCTGAATGAAAAATAATGATTCATGAAAATAGGAAATGTGGATAAAGATAAGATTTTTTTACAATTACTACAAACCTTTTTAAACACAACAGAATTGTTGTTAACGCAATTATTAAGACGAGAAGAACGCCGAGGACTATCGTGGCTACAAAGAAGCCAATGTCTCGTTCTGGAACAATTATTTCGACAGGGACTAGATGGTCTTCTAGCGATAGGATATTTATTACACTGGCGACCGCAGCATTTTCGTTTATATCCCTGTGAAAATTATTATTTGGATAGTTAATTTTAATAAAATTAGTTTTAATAAAGTATGCTGTCAACGTTATCTAAAATTATCACTTACTCAGTGAGACGATTGACACTAACAGGTTCCCCATCAACTAGCCCATATACATAAAGTAACAAAGAAGCTCCTGATGCACTCATTTCAAGTGTGTTTCTGGATATCATATTTTGGTTTTGGGTATCGGAAATAACATCTGACCTTAATACCCTCAGTTCATAACCAATAGCCGTACTTAGTTCAGTCAAAATAGATGTTTCATTATCTAGAAAAGCGTTTCCAACCGTGACAACTGCTATATTATCTGCACTTAGTAATTTTACCTGGAAGTAAGAGTATTTGTTAGAAAATAAAACAGAATAAAAAACACAGTTTAATGACCCTGAGGTAAAGCGTAAAGTATGATAATAGACAGATTGTATACATTTTTAGAGACATCATAACAACCTGAGGTCACCAAAGACGGAAATGAATACACTTTAGCATGTTTATACAACCAATTACGTGTGTGATTTTGATTTATCATGCCTTTATGTCTTACAATATTACTAATTAATGTAAAACGTCTTTATTCAATGTAGTGGGACTGCTTGCTTTTATGTCATTGGACAGGATGTTGTCCCGTCCGGCATATTATGTTGCCTCAGGGTTTTTAGCGGCTTCGTACAATGTTGATTTGTAACCGGTGTAGCTTTATCAGATGCAATAAATTCAAAAGTAAAATGTGGCGAGTTTAGATTTTAAAATAGTATGTACACAAATTTAGACTTCAGATTACGATGACTTATGCTATTCATACATTCAGATTGAGCTCTTATTTGATTAAAAAACCAACGTATAGCAACAAGAAACCGTACAGAGGCATCCGATAAAATTATGAGATCATACATGCGAAATACTTACTGATTGATCTTGGTGCTTTTATAGAAAATATTTGTCCCACGTTTTGGTATGAAACCTTATAATTATGACAATGGTGAATCATAAGAAAGACATGTTTCACTATTTTTTATCGTGTCACATGATATTTAAGGACGTATAAAAATAACAATTCCGGTTATAGGTATTTGATTCTAACGCACTACGTAAGAATTTGAAAATTTAAGAGATTATGTGGTCAATGTCAATGACGGAACGATTTTGCCGTTCGGAATTTAATATAATTATGTAATCAACTAAATTAAATTCTTATGCTGGTAAGCTTTGCATCTTTAGAATTGCTATTAGATAATTAATGGAAATGTTGTGTTCGGACCTTTTTACGGTATAATATAAGTCAAGCAAATGGAAAAAAAATAACCTTTAAATTGTATTAGAGAAAAAAATGTCTATCGCAACATTGTAATGAAAGAAAATAAATTTTGAAATATTTACTATTTAATCAGAATCCTTTTTTATTACCTGTATTAAACAACTGTAAAAATTCAACAGTTTTTTATTTTGTTTAGGTAGATAGCATCATATAAATTAAAATGCCATAAAAATTCCATAATTCAGTGAATTATTCAAATTAAATATTGTTTCTAGAGTGGTTAATAAAGCTAAAATTAGTCACACTTCGGTTCAAGAAGATGACAGTCACATAAACTGGCCTGTTGATGAACCGGTCAGTCTCCCTAACTGCTAAGCTAGAGGTCGTGAATTCGACATTTCCATCCGGGACAAATAATTGTTGAGCTGAGCATTATCATTTGTTAAATGTCTGTAATTTATCCAAATAATACAGTTGTGCCACAATTGCGTTGAAGTCACGTCATCAAAAGACTGGCGGGACAAAGTGGATGGAAGCTGCCCAAGACCGAGCAAGATGTCATAAACTGAAACATCAGCGGTTGAAAATGGTTACATAGAGATAGAGAATAGGTTTGTTTATCAGTAGTCTGGTTACCATTGCACAGATTCTGAATTAGAATTTAGAATCAGAGGTCCGTATATAATGTGTCAAGTTTTTATTTTCATTATCATGTTGGTGGAACTAAACAAATTAACGTCAGTTAATGTAATGTATAACGAAAGTAGAGAAACGCACATAAGGACTATTTTAAAAGTTTAAGGTTTCCTTTTATTAGCCCTTTATTACATCGCCACATATTTAATTTTAAAAAATGCTGTTTAAATTTTTATTTTGCACAGGTCATCAGTTTTAGTTGTTAATAATTAATTAGAAAACCTGGAAATCATAAAGCCAGGTAGGTCCGGTTAATATGATGTTCATGATTAAAACTAAATAGCTCTTGTTTCGCATAGTGCTTATTTGCATTACCATGGTACCCATTAAAACGACCTTCAAACCTTCAAGAAAAGAGTGTACTCCTTCCTAAAAGGCCCGCAACGCATTTGTGACTCCTGAGTTGCAGACGTTCATGGGCGGCGATAGTCACTTTCCATCAGGTGACCCGTCTGCTCGTCTGCCCCCTCTAACATAAAAACAAAAAAAAACACATAAAAAAGTAATTACCAAAATTTGTAAATTTCCTGTGAGTCCGTTTCCCCTTCGGTCAGTGGCGTAAACTGTAAGGTTTTGATTGTTTTGCAGTTGTGCACCGGTTCTTACATGTACAAAACCTGTAGTCGGTGAGACGGCCAACGCCTCTTCCGGGCTCCAGTACATTAGAGCTGCATTTTCGCCAATATCCGCATCTGTTGCCTGTAATAATGAAATTTATGCAGATTTAATAGGAAACTTAATATTTTAAAGAATTCTTGGCATTTCTATTATTAGGAGTACCCAATGATTAATTAATTGCCGACTTAACATAAAGTCATAGTAATGCAGCCTACCTCCAGCTTAAAGAAACAACCTAAAAATTTAAGCTAAACGTGAGTACAGACAGTAAGATTACTGATCCTTGCAGTCTAAATATTCCAATTTTAGGTACAGAGGGTTATTATATCCCTTCTCGTATAACCGACCTTAGCGAGTTGACTAAAGAATCATGTACCTGCATTCTTTTATCTCAAAACCAGGGTTTTTCACATGAACATAATAATATGATTACTCATTTATATCTATAATTTCATTATTAGAGAGATAAAAATGCTTGCAAAGTTTTTGTACATATGGTTCGGTGAATTATAAGTTGTGATAACGTTATCAATTGATGACATATGTCAATAAATCTTATCACAGAACTATATTGTTGCATACTGTTATTGATATTAGCTATTCGATCTCAAATATGTAAGTAGGTAAATGCACCAAAATTTATTACAAAGCAATGTGACAGGTCCTTTTAATTTAGGCTTTGTAGTCATTAGCACAAAATAAATAGTAGTACACATTTCAGTTACTTTGACATCATTACAACATTTTATTTAGTATTAATAGTGTTCGTTATATTTTATAAATAACATTCTCTCTTTAATAATTCGGTTTGGTAGCAGGTAATGAATCAGCCGGATAAGACTTTTGGTTTTTATGTTTGAAGATAAAACTCTTTTTTTGAAGTGAATCATGTTTCAACATGGAAACTTTAAATAAAAGGAAAAAAACAAAGTTGACGACTTACATCGTTAATTTTAGAGATGCATATAAATCAATGTCATATAAGTTACCTGTAACTCAGCCAAGGACCGGGGTAATATTCTTTCTTCCAGGTCATAAACAGGATACCCCACAGGAATCGGCTCATTCTCTTTGCCAACAAATATCGGATAGTTATCATTAATATCTTCCACTATTAGATTTACTAAACTCCTTCTTGGGTTGTACGGAATCGATTCTGTTAGGATCCATGTATTTGCATTATAGTCATATGGCTTCAGCCAACTACTTCTCTTAGATCGTTTTTTAAGACTTACATTGTCACTATCGCAAGTCAGTATGAGTTCAACTTGAATTTGCGACAGCGGCATAAAAGCAATAGATTCATGTTCCCTATCTATTGATGTTGTATGTAGTCCGTTCTCGTCTACATAAAGCCATCCTTGATTAAGAGGCCAGCGGTTGTTGAGAGTAAATTGACAACCTTCTGCCCCTGGCGGTAGTGGGACTAAGCTATTATGGGGCTCTTCCTCGTTTCTATTTAATATTATTAGCGGTGGTACGTAGATTCTATCATCTTCAATACTTATAACTTGAACTGTCATATGTACCTGTAAATAAAAAAGGAAATTCGTTTGTAGCTTATGAAGCACATTTAACATTATTTTGTTTAGGTATAGGGAAATAGCTACGCTACGCTATCCATTTTAACTAAAATACAGAATTTCCTCGTGTTGAAGTAATATTCCGTGTTAAGATTTAAAAACAGTCAAATTTTAAAGAAGTAACCGACCATGACTCATGTTATGCGGCCACCACAGGTTTGAATACTTTTACGTTACCTATTTCGTTAAAATTATATAGCTCTTTTCTGAATCTTTTAAGAGTATACTATTTTGTGCGAATCGGCTATGTAAACGACCCCTTTGATTTTATAACCTGGGAGTTGAGTAGAGTTCGTGTAGTATTGTGCTGTTAAAATCTATTTTCTCGACCTGTAATACGATCAGCCTAGAAAGCGCATCGCAAATCAAATCATATTTATTTCATAATTTCTCAACAATCTCTCTCTCTCTCTCTTCAAGAATAAAACATAATTAAAATAATGATTTCAATTTTGTATCGCTTTTTAAAATACCGTAGCAGAGGAAATATACCGATTAAAACTGTTCAATGAACTCAAAGAACCAATGCAACAAATTAACGATTGGGATACTATTGACACGTTATTTAATATTGGTATTGTATTTAATTTTTTGGAATACGAGTTTTAGATTGAGTTCGATTAAAAACAAAATTAGGAACAAATACAATTTTTTATGCTAACAAACTCTACATAAATACATATTTCGATGGTACTGTATATATTACTTAGATAAAAAAAAACACATAAGAAGAGTTGATTCTTTAAAGCTACTAAATAACGCAAAGGATGATGTTAGTCTACCGTCTACATTAGGTAAGTGTTATGTCGCGAGGACCTTATAAACACCCAATTAAGGGAACCAAAGGTCATCCACATTCTGAGCAACTGTTGTGAATCACATAAATGGTCTAAATAATGATTTTTTTTAACCATTAAAGTGTTTGTCGAACATAAGGTCTGTTTGATAATCACAATACTTGGAACACCTAAATCTTGGGCTTTTGCACAATTACAATGCCTAGTCTTGTCTTTGGAAAAGCGTTTTTTTTGTCATTTATGTAACATAAAAAGAGTTTAAGTAATCTATATTGTTAAGAAATGTTTATATTTTTTTCTAATAGTTACTTATGTACAGTTAAGATACAGTGTTAGCTGTGACAATCCAAACCTCACCATTTAGCTATATCAAGTAAAGTTTGAAGGTTAATTCTTTTAATCGGGTAATAAAGTATTGCTTATTCCTACCTTAGCCGTGCCAGTTGCCAGGCTCCTAACTGTTGTAGCAATAACTTGGAATTCGTACACCCCGCTGTTGGCTGGAGCAAACAAATGCAGCTCACCTTGCTGGTTTATAGAGATACGAGCTAGAAGATGTTCTGAAACAATATAATGTTTATTAACCTACCTCTAAAATATACGCCATAAGAATTTTGTAAAATAAATGATAATGTAATTACTCTAGAAAGAAAATTGCTTTACAAAAAGTTCAGGCGCGCGGTTAATAAATCTTTCGGGCAGTATACGCGAACAAGGTTTAATCGGTATTTTTTGTGGGTATCTGCGAAAATAATTATTTACTATAATTAATACGATTTCAATTTTGTGTATTGATATACCAATTTGAACCCGTACGAAGGTTTGAATATTAAACTTAGAGTTCTAAATGTAAAAATGACGATTTCTAATCTTTTTATTGTAGGCTAATAATAGTTTCCCAAGTTATTAAAAATCATTAATCAATTTGAACATGTTAAACCTATAATAAACTTTAAAAGCCTTCGTCACTGAAATATTCGAAGATTTCGTTTTTCTAACGTCATATATCTGATAAATATTATCAGTTTCAAAAGCTTCAAATACCTATGTTCTTATCGCGACGAATTAAATATTATTTACTACTTAAACGAATAAATAGAGACTTAAATTTGAATAACAAATAATATATATTTCAAAGAACTTCTTTTTAAGACATTTAAACAAAAAGTTTATTCAAATGTAAAACACATTAAAACTTTGATCTTACACACAGTTTATCAAATATGAATAAATAGCTACTTAGTCTTTTATTGTTGTCGTCGAATGATAAATATACGTTTTTACATTGTTTAAAGCACTTTTAAATATTTTGGTTTTTCGTGAATCAATATTATTCGCAGATCTAATAAGCTACACGATTTCTGTTCTTCAAGAGATAAACAAATTTGTACCTACCTCTTACGCAAAGAAATAAGATCTAATTCTAGTTCTTATTTCACTCATTTTGTCAATCTACAAAAACCCTAATAACGATACAAGAACAGGTTCTCTTTTTTCCCTGATATCTTTACAATTTGACTTGAGAGCATGTCAGTCCCATCCTACCCTGAATAAAATTGTACTCATTTCTAAATTTAACTTAATTATGACTTAAGAAGATAAAATATACATATATTTATAATACTGCAATATAGATTATAGTTCAAAGAATTATAAACTAATAACGCCGCCTCTGACGAAGGCTTTGACAATATAACTTTAAACATGCCAACATCTATTATATTAATTTTTAACCTATTTACCAGAGCCTCTCTCCATCTTTAATCTTTTAGCTAGAAGATGTCGCATACTAAAGTATATTCATAAATATTAAAGTTTGTTTATCTGTCAACTTTTTGAAGAGTAGCATAGCACAATAGTTACCATCGTTGATATTCAAGGAATATGTAACGTCTTCTTTATTTTCAGCGGTAGCCAGCACCATGCCTATGAGACCGGTCTGCTTAGCTTCCACACTAAGTACGTAGACATCAGAGCCGAATGTCACTATTGGCAGCACAGGCACTTCTGAAAGAATAAAATAGGGATCTCACTCTATGACTTTTAATTACTTACGTTCTTGACCAAACGCAAACTATTAAATCTAAATTGTACTTTTACATACCCAACATTAATATTTAAAACAACTACGACTTAACTGATTTTATAGCGAACTTTGAATATTAATTTATTACTAAATACTAATTTAGAGTCAAAGAAAACAATTGTGAACTTTTGTTTCTTTTCCTTTGTTTTCCTTCAACAAAATTGATTTAAAATGATTGTGTTACGGCTCCTTCAAATACTAGCTTGTTAAGATGATATTGTTTCATTAAATATTGAGGTTAACTTTATTATAAAGTTGATTTTATAGATAACACAGATAGTACAAATTGCAAAGCGTTATTATTAAAATATTTGTTTCGTATAAGCCCTGGGACAACTTTTTGACTTCATCCGCGATTTGACGTCTTTTTTATAAGTATGTAACTGGGGTTTTGCGAAGAATGCTGTAATTGAAATAGCATTTGAGTCTCTTCTTTATATTCTTACTTGTACAAATTTCAGAAAGCCAGAACTCACCAACTTTATATTTTTGGTTTCATATTTACAAGATTGTGTAAATTTTTAAATCTATATGTAGGTACAAAATACAAATTTTAATATCATGATTGTGCTTGAGTGCCTTCCTATGCCTTCGCATGGATCACATGCGTTTACTACCATTTAGTCAATATGTAATACAATTCAATTACAAGACATTTGCGATTCGTGCATTCAAGATTTTTAGTGGCATATGAAACTCGTTTAAAAGGCATATTCTATAAAAATTATAGCTAAAGCTTTTTTATGGTTCAGGACAGGTGAGGCCATCTGTCACCCTAGCGGTGGTATCTGAGGGGATTTCGGCAGAGGAAAATCAATAAATACATACACATACCCATATAGCACATAGTTATTACAGATATAAATAGTGATCCTTGAAGAGTTCTTTAAAAGTACCCGCTGAATTTACCCGCCTTATATCTTCCGGTAACGAATTCCAGAGGCGTGCTGCTCGCACCGCATTTCTAAGGTCAGATTTTCCGGTGACCTCAAGTATTGAGTATGTGTATCATGAATAAATGCTAATCGCTTTTTTAAGTAGATAGGGGTTGTAGGATTCAATAGAGTATAATACAGAAATGAGAGGATGTGAGTATTCCTGCGAAGACGAATTGGGAGCCACTTGGGTTTTGAACGAATTTCGTTAACATGATCATATTTGCGCAAGTCAAAAATAAATCGTATACAGAAATTCTGAAGTCTCTCAAGTTAAGACTCATCAAATTGGTCCTCATTCAGATCAAGATAGCTGACATCGGGATAGTCGACAATGGGTAGAAGAATTGATTGTGCAAGATTAATTTTAGTGGTAGGTAGGTGTAGATAGAACATTAAATGATAATACCCGATGAAACAAAACGCAAAATATTGAACGCCTAGGCTTGAAGTTCTTGTATTCTATGAATATTAAGTATCAAGTAATGGTTAAAATTTACAAAGATACATGCTTGTCCTAAGTGCAAAGTATTCAAAAATATATTGTAAATACACATGAGGCGCCCTAAAGACTAATTTTGAAAAAATGTTTACATGATGATTATTACAGCGGTCGCTCACAAAATCTAATCAATATTTGTGGATGCGCATTACATCACTAACTGTATTGCTATGCCAATGTGCATCAAAATCATTCATGTTAATCGCATTAACTTAAATGTTACTATGTTACTATCTTATGTTACTATCTTATATCTATGTTACTATCAGCATCATTATAGATTACAATAGGACACATGATTAATGTTTGCATGTAATAAATGTTTTATTAGTGATTGGACAAATTTCTTTATGATATTAAAATTGGAAAGTTAATCCATTCTTAAATTAAATTAATTAATTATTGATATAATGGTCTTAACATATTTTGTGTAGAATAAATTTTTATATAAATCCCTATTTTTTTGCTGTCATCTAGTTTTCTTTGAACAATTTGGTTGGCAAATTGAGCTATAGAGTCGACCCTGCTTGTTGAAAACAACAAGTAAAGCCAAATTTTTAGTTAATGAGTAAAATCTCTAGATATTTATCAGATGCTCTACAATTCAAATTAGTTTTTAGCGTATTTTTTATTAATCCCCAATTATTTCTTCTACGTTTGTTTGAAAAAACTTGAAAAACCTTTCTCGACCTGTGGCATCATTAAATATGTAAAATTTTTACTTTTACTTGACTCCCTCAGAATTCAGTTTTAATAAGTCTAGAAAAATAGATTGCAGTTTTTTAACCACAATTAAAAAAACGGAGAGAATTAAAAATTGGTTGCATTTTTTCATGTTTTTTAAACTCAGTATTCAATCGTTTACGATTTTTTCCATTTGGTCCCATTCAAATAAAAGAAAAAATCATCTCCCCTAAGACTGTAAAAATCATCATGAGGCGCATCGAAGTCATTGAAAATATCCACACTTATGACATGAAAACCACGGCTTGGTTTTATAACGGTCCAAATTAATTTGTTAGGTCGCATAAAACACTCAACTGAACGGAACAGAAGAGGATTTTAGTGGAAAATTTACGTCATTTCATAGTTATTAGTTATATATAAAAATACAATTGCTTTTTGGCATCGACATAATGCATCATGGAAATATTATAAAATACTTATTCAGATTCTTAATTTTATAAATGCTTTAGTCATTCTGTTATGTGTTAATAACTTAACGGGTGACAGTTGATATTACTAAAAACATTAATATTTTTTGCTTTTTCTTCGAGCCTTAAGCTTCTGTTAGACAGCACCATGTTTATTCTATATCTTATGAAATAATCGTTATTACAGTTTATGACAAGGTGACGAAGGACGTACTTATATAAACATAATACAAGACTATCAGATTGATTTGATACACTACATAGAATGTGTTTACCTTATCGACTTAACATTCAGGAATATTCCAGTATAATCTAGTATAGTAATGTAGAAATGACAACCCTTGTAGTTATTATTTGTTTTACTACGTCAAAAACAATTTATTATTATTTCTAGTTCACAATTATTGAAACTTAAATCTTTAAGCAGTAGTGTAGTGAAGAACAGTTTATGTTGTTTATGTGTAACTTAAATATCTATTAAGTTGATAAATACTTTACCTGATTCTATTACGGTTAATAGAAGAACAGCTCTGGCATCACCTGCATGCAATTCTAAAACCACACGCGTGACTTCATCAGGTAGGGTAAGTATCTCATTTGCTGCTCGTATTATCACTTCACCATCAATAATGCTCGCGACGAACAAGCTTGCATATTCTAAAATAAAAAAAAAATATACACAGGTATAATAGTGCGGCTTCTCAGAATATTTAATTAAATCAATTCGCAAGTTAATCTTCTTCTGTGCAAGTATATGGTTGACCGCAGTTTTCTTATAAACTTTCTGGGAACTGTAATTCGAATAAAAAACTGCCTGTATCCTATTTTTCTAAATTCAAATAGACACTGTTATTATAGTTTGATACATAAATGTTATTAAAATATAAATAATAGATATCGGTTGATTCATATAGAACATATATGACAATATACAACAATTCATTTTAATGCAAATACCCTTACAAAGGTCTATTACAGAGGCCTATGACCAGCAGTGGACTATTAAAGGATGTTGATGATCTCGCCAAAAAGCTGTGAAGCTTGGCGAGGAAGTTATGTTAAGTTATTATTCTACATAATAATGTCATGTAGTCACTGTGCATCAACTTATAATAGAACGTATTCAAAAGCGTCGTCAGACACTTTACCATTTCGAGTGGGCTGCAAAAGCAACTTCCTTTATACAGTGATAAATTGGACACTTCCAAATGGATAGTCTGTCAATTTGTCGACAACAGCATGATATGACATTCCTTTATAAAGCATTAAGGTGTAAGTTCGACTGTCCACTGCTTTTGAGAGCATTTGGTTTGAGGGTGCCATGTCGTGTATACAAACACTCGCTAACGCAGGGTTGTTTTATCAACCTCTAGCCAGTACCAATCTTAAACAATTCTCAGCAATATTTCGTTTGCCACACACACGTTGTTTAGCACATGATTAATTAAAAGTTCTGTTAGGTAGTTAGAAATTCATATTAGAAATAATCTTGTTATTTGTAGTTGTTATTTTGGTTCAATTAATTAAATTTAATTTATTTATTTATAATATAATAAAATAAGCAAAGTTATTGTGTCATTTAGACCTTCTTAGACCACTTTTAATGCATCACTGTCTCTAATTAATTTCCATGATGTTCTGTATGTTTTGTATATTATTATAGATATTGCATTGTATAATCCTAGATGTACTCGTAACTGTCCCTTACCATGCCGTGGCAACTTGTAAGTACTCAGCAAATATTTGTAAAACTATGTATTAGTGTATGTTTTGTAAGTTGTCCTAAATAAATAAATAAATAGTGTTACTCTATTATATATGATGTGACGCCTTAAAATGTTGTACATTAATCTCGATATAATGCTTTGGATTTATGTAAATGATGTAAAAGTACTGGCTGTCCAATAAATGAGTATTAATAAAAGTTCGGGTATTAACGCGATCATTAGGTATCGTATGCATTTGAATTTACTGACATTTCGACAGGGTTTAATTGGCTGTGGTCTCAGGCTGATATTGATTCCGTTAATTCCTGAATAATTGCATAGAGTAGCACGCAAAAGCTTAAAAGTTGGTAGACTTTTGCCAGTTGGACATCTCTAAAGCAACAAGAACAATAATTTTAAAAACACTAATTTACCAGAGAGAAATCAAGTCATTTCATTATATGAGAACTCTTCAAGTATACTTCTAAAGTGGACTGATTACAGGTGCAAAACTTAATTAGAATGAACAAGTACTACTAGTATTATTATTAGGACTATTCTCAAAGGATGTAAATTCTTTATCCGTTAACCATGGCGCGATTCAAGGCGACAATGCACCCGTGAGGATGTGGGGACGTTTGCGGAAGGAAAAAGAACACAATTTTGGTAAGTGATTATTTTACATTAACCATAATTGATCATAATGTTGCAGCTTTTTACTGTCATTTTCATTCAAAAGTAGCACCTTTAAGGTATCAAGATGTAATGAACAAAATAGTTCCTTTAATTGTTGAAACTTAATGTTCTGTGAAGCGCGTAACGCTCATTCCAAGGTTTCAAAAAATAGACTTGATGATTTAAATTATCATAGTTATTTAAAAATGTTACAAGGTTTTAAAGAGCCAGGTACATTTCAGACTTTTCAAGCTTATAGTTTTACTTGTGGGAATGGTCGTGTCAATATTGAATCTTGAAAATGTAATATTTAGAAGGAGATCACCATCCAAAAAATAATCTTCAGCCCCCCCCATGTTTATGATCAACCGAACCAATCGTACCTTTAACTATGAATGAAAGATGAAAAAGAAATATCTTCACTTCTCGTAAATAGGTAGGTGTAGGTACTCTAAAAGGGTTGATGGGTAATTAATATATAAATGTGAAACTACAGCTTTCCAGTCTAATAGTATTTGCGCGTTTGTTGACAGATAGATACACATGGCAAACCTACACGATCGTTTTATGATACCAATGATGTTACTAATTTCTAGACCATATGAAAACATATTCTTTAAATAAGATCCGTAGCTGATCAGATCTGCATTGGACATACATCTCCTAAATATTAACTTTTCATTTCATCAATTAGATTAGCATACTAATTTCTATTCCTTTGATTCCGTCAAAACTGCAATATTTTCTTTTAATTCAGATAAAAATACCTGATAGGTCCTTTTACTTAACCTTTATTATTTTGCGTAAAACGGTAACAACATAGGTCCGTGAAATATTATTTTTATAAGGTGTTCTAAGCAAAATAATAATACCTATTGTCAAAAGGTTATAAAGAAATATACCACAATAACTTTAATGTATTTAGAAGATAAAATATTTATAATATTGATACGAGTGCACATAAAATAATTATTAAAAATAATAAATAACTACGGCAAAAAAATGGAGGTGGGTGAAAAACATACATTACAGTTTACACTTTTAGAATACTAAATAATCTAAGGCTTGCATGATCATTAAATATCACAAAACAGTGAAAACTCAGATCATACATAAAAAAAAAAAATAACAATACCATCTATATTCTAATCATAATCCACCATTTTTTATACTTTCGCAAAAATGCCTAGTAAAATATTATTAGACGCAGTTTAATAATGTTCTACCGGTCTACCAATAGTTGCATAGTTAACTCTATCAACTTAGCTTTTATGTTTATTAATATTCACTTACGTCCATAAGGTAGCACATTGACTCCATCGTAATTTGAAATTATGATCGTCTCATGTTGTACGGTACTGAGTTGAATAGTTCCTTGGTAGAAAAGCCTCTCGAATGATACATCATTTCCAGCCTGCGAACCTGTTAATAAACATATCAAAAAGAACACATATTTAATATTAATTAAAAAAAGATCTATAAGTTCTTACAAACTAAACTTATTGAGTAAACTATAACGAAAACCACAGTCTTTTGAAGTAACGTAACGTAAAAAATATATTAAGTCCTGAAATAAATAAATGATTTAACATAACAAAAGCTACATGACGTGTTCCATAGACGATGTACGAATCCGAATTGAAAATAATTGATTATTAAAAACTTTAAAATTATCTAATCAAATGTGATTAGCCATAGATTAATGTCATAAAACATTGTTGCCTGCATACATAAGGACAATATTTTGTTGTTATTCAATTATATCTTTGCGATATATTTGCCTGCAATAAAACCCTAATTGCTTGATTGATTAAATGGATGCAAAACAATAAATAAAGCCTTATGCTCTATACTTGACCGGAAAACGACCTTCATAGGTAGAGGTATTTAATTAGATTAGATTAAATTATTTTCAAAAATGAAATTATCTACAGGAAATAATTCATTTGGAGGCACTTATGATTTGACACATGATTATTTACATCACAAGTTATTATTGGACCAATCTGTTAGCATAAGTTTAAGGTGCATTAAATACATTTGCTTTTTTTTAAGTTAATTACTAACAAGAACCTGTTACTTGAAGAGTACACAAATGACCTCTCTCTCGGTCCTCAAATCTCGAAAATCGTCGCGTCTCGAAAATAGTATTTGATTTGTGATGCAATTCTCGTTATAAAAGCTCGGTCACAATTCAGTTCCGATCAACTCTCGATCTCACGACTGTGATAAAGGGTATTTTCGTAGTAAAGTATTAAACATACAACGTTAACTGTAATATGATTATATCGTATTCTAACCGAAAATTGTATCGGTAATCTGCTAGTCTTAGTAATGACTTTCATATTTTGCTACGAAAATACCTTTTATGACAGTTGCGAGATCGAGAGTTAATTGTTATTGTTGTTAAATAACAAACAACATTGTAAACATTTAAGTAATGATTAAAATTACATACATCGATTTGTTTTGATCGAAATGTAAAAAGTTTATATTTTATTCATTAAACTACACGTCACGTTATATGTGAGCATCGTCATCAATCTTATATTGTCAACTGCTGGACATAGGCTTAAGCGTGGTTTAAGCGGTCACCTCACTGCTTCCCATTGCACTAAGTGTTGTGGATTCGATCCCCACATGGACCATCACTTTGTGTGATCCACATATTGTTGTCCTGAGTCTGGGTGTTCTTTGTGTCCGTTTCATATATGATTAATTCCCAAGTGCGGAAGTAGTCTTTTAAAAAAAAAGTAGTACCTAAAGCGCCTAATTAAATTATACTCATATAATGTCTCGTTTTTACCTGCAGGGAGGGCGATGACTATAGCTGTGCTCGCTCCTACTGTTAGAGGTCTAGTAGCGTGCAAAGTCAGCAAGATGTGTTGTTGGTTGAATATTGAGGGCGGAATACTAGTTGTGTTGCTTATTGTCACAATGGCTCCTTCACGTGTCGCTTCAAAATAGCTGGAGTGATCTTTAGAAATGAAAGGATTAAGTAATTAAAATTAATTTGTAAGTAATAAACTAATCAAAAATGCAGAATATATACAAGGATTGCTTGAGATATAACACAACAAAATTATATATAATTTTATAAATAAGAGAAAAACATTTTTGTTTAAACTATATATTAATAACCTCACACCTCATGGGTGTCATTCATCTATGATATCTCTGTATTTCGATATATATAAGTACGTACACACTTAAATATTTTTATTACAAACATATAATTCACGCCCACACAGAAAAAATTATCGTGCTCAGCACACAATCCAGGTGATTGCCCTGGGTGGGAATCGAGGCAATGAAGTCGGTATTTATTACTATCCGTTACTTTTTAACGTTAAGTATTGTAAGAATATAGAAATATACATATGTAACAAGTTAGGTATATCTCTAATTACCTCCAGATAGGGATAGTACGATGGTTTCATCATAGCCTTGGGTAAATATAATTGGCTCAAGGGTCAGTCCAGTTTCGGTTTCATACGATCCTGTGTAAAGTGGCGAGCTGAATAAGGGAGTCACGTTGACGTCTCGTACTATCTTCAGGATGACTATAGTACTCGCTCTACTAAAGTTACTAAACGCCACTACTTCAAGAGATATAATGTTATTTGCGGCTATCACGGCGTCAGGTATTCCGTTCATTGTTAGTTGTATTGAATTTCCTATGGTACTTGTACTAAAGAATTGCGAGTATTCTGAAAAAAAAAACAATTATATATGGGTTTACCAACGTTTCAGGAAATCGCTTGACATGAACTATGAGTTGGTATTGATAGTATATTCGATTGCTTATTATCAATATAACATGCTGTATAGGTTTTATCCTCCCTCTTAAGAATCAAAGCCTTCATCACTATTCAGCTTAAGTTGTAATATTATTATGGTAAGAACGATATAAGCGTCAAAGAAAGCGATGCTAGTTGTGACCAATCCTGTAAAGAGAATAAACGTACCCTTGAAAGATAAATTGCTGTATGTAATATAGAAAGCATTTTTTTTTAAGTTGTCTGAAGTGCTGGCAATGTGATATTTCGGTTAGGTACTTATAATTTATAATTAATTTAATACTATGTGAAAACGTACCCCCAAAAATTTCAGTATTCAGAATCTCTCCCTCGTAGTCTTGTGTCAGGGATAGTACGAGTTCTTGTAGAATGTTGTTTTTAATCGTTCCAAGATAACTGGATTGTTCGAATTTTAGCGACACTCCTGAAAACGTATAAGATGTAGTTATAGTATTTTTGAACAATAATTTTTAGTTACATTACCTAAGAACGGTTTACAGGATTTGGTATTTTATCGCTTTTATTGTTCACTACAGTTAGACCAGCTAAGGTTTTTAGGGCCCCTGCCCTAAACACCCCATGGATGATTAGAAATTTTAAGTCATTTTTGTAGGAATGTAATGATAATTATTGTAGAATAATATATAGGTAAGATTGTAGGTGACGTGTTGCTAGTTTATAATAAAATTGTAATGTATCGGTACATTGTAATTTAAACTTTCACACCTCCTCACCAAGATAGTGATTGCTGCAACTGCAACACCCGGAGGAAAATTATGCAAAACTGAGCAAAGATGTTGTCAGTATATTGTCAGTTGTTAGCCAACAACGTATCGCATCTAGTGTCATCATTGTAATATGTGCATTGCATTTGGCCTAATATATGAATTAAGGTAGGATTAAAATAATTATGTTTCAGTTTGGGTTAATAACATTTAAGTCAGTAGAACTGCCTATGTATGTCTACTTCCTTTATTTAAATTTGTTAAATGTAAGGTTATTAACCACATATTTACTCGTATAATATTTTTTTTTTTGCTTTGAGACTGTTTGAGGAATTTGTTGTTAAAATTGCTAAAGGTAGTTTCAAATTTTTTGTTACTTCACATACATACATAAATTTAGATTTTTATTGTCACGTAATATTTATTTGTTACCCATGCATCATCATCATCATCATCATCAACAGCCTATAACAGTCCACTGCTGGACATAGGCCTCTCCTTACAAAGGAGGTTTTGGCCTACTATACCACGCTGGCCAGACGGGTTGATATAGGGTTTGTTTCAAGTTTTCCTTCTGTTGTCCTTCGTAGTTCCCTTAGTCTTAGGATAGTCGTATTAGGATGAATACGGGTGGTGACATTCCGTATTCTTAATCCGTCACCATACGGACCATGCATGCTCATTGGAATATATACTTAGTCCTAAATGGAATATTCGGAGCTTATTAATTAAATAATATTTTTATTATCTTTGAAAGTAGCTTGAGTACAAATAAATTTAAACTGATCGTAAAAGTTCCATTTGATAGATGAGACCAAGTGTCATTATTTTATGTCCTGGCACTTACGTCTTTTCATAAAATTTCACAGAAAAAAGAGACGTCGGCTGGTCATTATATAGTTACGTTGTGTGTTATTTTAATTTACCTGCAGGGAGGGTGATGAATATGGCAGTGCTCGCTCCCACAGTTTGAGGCCTAGTAGCGTGCAAAAATAATAAGATGTGTTGTTGGTTAAATATTGTAGGTGGAATACTAGTTGTGTTGCTTATTATCACAAAGGCTCCGTCACGGGTCGCTTTGAAATAGCTTGAGTAATCTATGGAAAAAAGCTTTATAAGTTTGTATCTGAAGAAGGACTTTATCATAACTTGCTAGTTATTTATTATTTATTTTGTATTTCAGTTATAACATAATTTGAAATAAAATTAAAGACAGTAACTTTAATAAATATAGAAAAAAAAAGATTAGAAGTATAAGCTTTTGGCTTTTACCCTTTTCGTAAACAATAATTATAATCAAAGTCATAATAGTCTATACTGGACCGTAAAAATAAGTTACATAAAAGTTCCCACTTCAGCGATGTTTCAGTAATGAGTTTCGATTTATACATCTAACGTAAAACAATCGTACACAATTGCGTGTGTACATTCTTTAAATATATAATAATTAACTATATAAAATTCTAAAAGAATATTCTTACTTTAACCTATTAAAGTCAGCTATGGCAAAAATTAGGAAATAAAAATAACGTACAGAGCATAACTTAAATTACCTCCAGACAATGATAGTTCGGTGGGTTCATCAAAACCTTGAGTTAATACGATTGGATCAAGAATCAGCCCAGTTTCGATTTCATACGATCCGGTGTGAAGTGGTGAGCTGAATATCGGGATCACGTGGTCGTCCCTTACTATCTCCAAAATAACTATAGTACTCGCCCTGCCAAAGTTACTATATGCCACTACTTCCAGGGATATAATATTATTAAGAGCAATCACACTATCAGGTAGTTCGTTCATTGTCAGTTTTATCGAATTTCCTAGGATAACCGTATTAAAGAATTGCGAGTATTCTGAAAAAAATCAAATAAAAAAATATATGCTAAAATTGTACGCAAATTATGTTAAAGTTTTATGAAACCTATTAAAGTAATTTGACTAAACAGCCACTCAGTACGAATGAGTTGTTATTGATAGCATAGTGAATTTTATTCCGGCAATATTACTTTTTAAATTACTTTGAAATATGAATATAAAGGTCGTTGAGCCCTACTAAGTTTTTCAGCTTGTTTACGTCTTAGACGGTGGTAGTATTACACAAGCATCCGATATAATAAGTCAAGAGACTGAATGTGTCCTTGATTAAATTTACTCTTGTTTACGATTTTTTTCAAAAAAACTGCTGGAGGTGCTCGGAAGTTAGAGAAATTTGTCGGCCAAGTGTTTGTAATTACATCACTAATTCAATTTAATATTATATGGTAACATACCCCCAAGAATTTCGGTATTCACAATCTCTCCTTCGTAGCCTTGTGTAAAGGATAGTACGAGCTCTTGTAGACTGTTGTTTTCAATTGTTCCAAGATAATTAGACTGTTCGAATTCCAGAGACACTCCTGATAAGGTAAAACATATATTTTCAATCAATCTCTGTGGAATGACCTTTATTGCAGGTATCAGGTGCAGGTGTATTGTGTTACATAAATGCCATTGCGATGAAAATATATTCGCTGAATTCTGCAATCTATCAAACATTAACTTAGAACTGATTTTCTAGACCTTAGACTTTCGCAACTTTAATTGAATGATTTTGGTTTTGACTACTAATTTGGGTTATTCTGGATTGTAATACATCGTTAATATAGTCCTTTCTTCAGGTAATTAATACGGTAAATGGTTGTTTATTAAGTTTGAAAACTTTCTTTTAACAACCTCAGACTTGCTGCAAAAACCTTTTATTTGAATTTCTGACTGTATTTAAAACTTAGTCTTTCAATATCGACTCAATAGTTAGATGATTTCATATCTAATGTCGATGCCATGCCAGAAACAACGTTTAAAACTCTGCAAGTTTGCTGTAAATTTACGCATAGCATTCAGTTTCAAAATGCAAGAAAATTACGTTAATAAGTACTTTAAAGGAGCGAAGTCTCGGATATCAGCTAGTAAACCCTAAAATAAAGACTTCGAAGTTTAATCAATTCAAATGAATCATTATACGTTGTTAATCGCATCACCTGACAATGAATTAACGAATTCGGTATGATAATGTTGCCATTATTTACTACAGTCAAAATGAGGCTTTTAGGAAAAGATTGAAGTTAAAAAGTTGAAGGTACATTTAAGTCTATCAGTATAAAGGTGACTTTTACACAATTACACCATTCTCGTATAAGGGGTTGATAAAATTCTAGACACATGTGAAATCCTGCATTTTATTAAAATTTGGTTATCTTCAATTATAAAGCTAGAAATGTTACCTGGTTTACCTTTTACTGGGTTCTAGGAATTTGCTGATAAAATAGAAGAAGGAGTTAATATCAGATGATACTTACCATAGCTGTAAAAAAACACTGTTCACGTATTGATTAAGTACAGACTGTGGTTTTCGTTTTTTGTTTACTTATATTATTATTGACTCCCACCTTATTTCCATGACATATTATTGTCAATATGGGTAGTGGTTACAGTGCACTTACCTTGTTTCCTTATTATTATGTTATATTGCTAGTTAGTATAATTTACCTGCAGGGAGGGTGATGACAATAGCTGTGCTCGCTCCCACGGTTTGAGGCCTAGTAGCTTGTAAAAATAGCAAGATGCGTTGTTGGTTGAATATTGAGGGCGGGATACTAGTTGTGTTGTTTATTGTCACAACGGCTCCGACACGTGACGCTTCGAAATAATTTGAATAATCTATAGAAAAAATCCTTTATTAGTTTCTGTGTACAGTAAAATTTTATCACAAACAGAGCATGAATAACGCTTATATTAGAATGTCATAAAGAAATAACAATATGTTTAACAATTATAAAAAAATACAAATAGTTGTGTTGTTTATTGTCACAACGGCTCCTTCACGTGTCGCTTCAAAATAATTTGCGAAATCTATAGAAAAAATGTGGATTTCATAAAATAATATTAACCAAAATAACAGAAACATATCAAATCTAAATTAAATTACCTCCAGACAATGATAGTTGCACGGTTTCATCATAACCTTGAATAAATATTATTGGCTCAATAGTCAGTCCAGTTTCGGTTTCATACGATCCTGTGTAAAGTGGCGAGTTGAATATCGGGACCACGTGGTCGTCCCTTACTATCTCGAGGATGACTATAGTGCTTGCATTACTAAAGTTACTAGACGCTACTACTTCCAGAGATATAAAATTATTTAAAGCTATCACACTATCAGGTATTTCATTCATTGTCAGTTCTATTAAGTTTCCTATTATATTTGTATTGAAGAATTGCGAGTATTCTGAAACAAAAATGTATTGTCAATATTTCAGTTCTGTATGTTTTTTTTTGTCCGTGTAGTGACGGATTAAGAATACGGAATATCACTACCCCAATTCATCCCGTGGGTGTCGTAAGAGCCGACTAAGGGCGCAAAACAACGAAGGACACCAGCACTGCAAATATAAGGAAATCTTGACACAAACCCTATACCAACCCGTCTGGCCAGCGTGGTATAGTAGGCCAAACCCTCCTTTCTAAGGAGAGGCCTATGTCCAGCAGTGGACTATTAAAGGCTGCTGATGTGTGATGATGATGACGTATGTTTTTAGCATATGTAAGCGAGTGTTAACTAAATGATTTATCGTCGTACAGTATAATTTGTGGCGTGATTAGTATACGCTATAAGCGGTAGATAAACTTGAATTCTCCTGAAAAGGAAGTAAGTGTGTCGTGATATTGAATTGGTCTGTTTTCTGAATACGAGGGCTACTTTTTATTTAACAATGTCATTCGAAAATCTTCGAAAAATAATCAGATAAGTGGTTATGATTTAGGAATTAAGTTTATGTCCACATACCGCCAAGAACGTTGGTATTAACAACCCCTCCTTCGTAGCCTTGTATCAGCGGTAGCACGAGCTCTTGTAGGATGTTGTTTTTGATTGTTCCATGATAACTAGACTGTTCGAATTCAAGCAAGATTCCTGAAAATTTATTTCGTTAGTTCAATGAATTAACTATGTATGTTAAATAAATGCAGTTAAGACATGCCATTGTCGAACTCTTGAATAATCCTTAAAGTAAAGATTTATTTTATTTATTTATTGAGACTTGCAATTTGCTGCAAACATATTGTATAAGGCGGACTTAATCCCACGAGCATTTTCTTAAGGGCAAACTTTTGGGTGTTGTAAAGCTGTGTGTGGCAGGTGTATATTTGGGACACGTAAATATTTCTAAAACTAAAAGTTCAATATTATTCGTTTGTAATCGGTTATGGATAGATGGATTTCGTTTATTTGTTTTAATGATATTATTCACCGATGTCTCAATTAGGCTGTTAGTGAAAAGGAAATTGTAGTTTATAGTTTTTTTTTAAATATAATGCAAATGTGTCTTTTTTCAACATGCATTTTATCCCTTACCGATGAATAGAATTCCACAAATTTTGAGACATAGATGATATTCTGGAATTTACATGTATGTGTGCCCATTTATATTGTAGGGACACATACTTTGTGAGAGGGTGCATGTGCAAGCGTTAGCCAGTCTGTGTAGCACTCGGTTCGAATGATGCACACGTGTCTGGCTGAAATACAGTTCAATATTATAAACATTTTATTATTTCATTCTATTACAACCTTAATAGTGTGAGCGCCTGCCTAAGCATAGTGGAGACATAATAGAGTCACATATCTTATTATACTAACCATAACTGAAAAAAACACAGTTTTCACGTATTTACTAAGTACAAACTGTGGTTTTCGTTATTGTTTTCTTACCAGAATTGATTCAGCATTAATGAACTAGAATCTACAAAACTTAATAAATACATTTATAGTTATAACTAATAAACAAGTAGAACAATAATATTTCATGTGTTGTGAAGTCTGTTAATTGTGGCATTAGTTCAAAATTGTATGCTGTATGTAAATAAAATTAAGATCATTATTATTAAAAATATCTTATTATAAAGAAACTGCATTTTTGTAACCTGGCGATTAGTGAACAATTTACTGAATGACTTAATCATCATTCAGTGAATTGTTCAGACAAAAGAACTTAACTTGTCAGTGTTGTGATATAAGTTGTTAGTTATTGTAATTTACCTGCAGGGAGGGTGATGACTATAGCTGTACTCGCTCCCACTGTTAGAGGTCTAGTAGCGTGCAAAGTCAGCAAGATGTGTTGTTGGTGGAATATTGAGGGCGGAATACTAGTTGTGTTCCTTATTGTCACAGTGGCTCCTTCACGTGTAGCTTCAAAATAATTTGAATGATCTAGACAAAAGAAAAGTATAAGTTTTATTAGTTTGTAAAGACAGTAGATAGATCATCATCAT